CATCATCTTTCACCTTTAGAAACGTTGGAGGCCACGTGTAATTTTGAAAAAAAGCCCTCATTAAAACTCATCAATTTAATTTAAAATATTCTCTTTCCTATTTTCAATTACATAATTTTCAATAAAATAATATTACGCATAAATCGAAAACATTTCATTGTTTTACAACCATCCATTTTTCAAAGAAATACTATTCTCCAATTATAAATCCAAATGATAGGGGGCCAGACGGGGGCTAAATGATTAGAAAATTGAAGCATCATATCACTTTGGGATAATTGCAATTGAGACCCCAAATTTTTCAAAAGTTGCATGCTCTTTCTTAATATTTCATTTGTTACAATCATCACCCCCAAATCTTTCAAAACGTTACGGATGAAGTCTCAATAGATGGATTTCATCCATATTTCTGTTAGTTGATCAAATAATTGGACTTTGACCACATTTTAATCAATTATAAAATGATAAAATGGTAACTTTATATTTTTCACATTAAAAAACTTAAATTAAAAACAACAAAAAAATGAAGAAGAAAATAAAATAAAAATGAAAAATGTATCTTCCTCACTCCCCACCCAACCCCAATGTCTCAATTTATTACTCACATGATAGGAAGGATTTTGGAGAAATTGCAATTGGACAGTGTCCAAGTTAACAAAATGTGAGGGAGAAGAAATAATTTTTTGCTTGGCATAGCAATGTGCGTGTTAAAATTTGATGCAAGCTGTAATTACCCTTACCCCACGCTGTAATTACCCCGATACGGGAGCGAGATATGGGCCCATGCATTTTGAACCTCAACTTGAGGTCTAGCACCGAGCATTCAATCGGCACCCCTATCACCACCATCGTTGTCGGCTCCTTCTTCGAGGCAGGTTGGGGTGGGGATTGGGAGTGAGGAAGAAAACGGTACTTTTTTTCATTTCATTTTATCTTCTTCTCTATTTTTGTTGTTTTTTATTTAAGTTGTTTAATGCGAAAAATATGAAGTTATCATTTTATTATTTTATAATTAATTAAAATGTTGTCAAAGTCTAATTTTTTGGTAACTAATAGAAATATGGACGGAATTCATCTATTGGGGCTTCATTTACAACGTTTTGAAAGGTTTTCGGTGACGGTTGTAACAAATAATATGCTAGGGAAAAGTTTTCAACTTTTTAATAGGTTTGGAGTCTCAACTGCAATTATTCCTATCACTTTTATGGCTTTTTTTTTTCCTTTTCTTTTATAATTTAATTATATGTTATAATTTTTAATTTAATCATCTAACTTATACTTGCATCTCAATTCAATTGCTCATATTATATTTTAAATTAAATTTATCTTATTTTATTTATTTCTATTAGGAATATTGATGGAATTCGTGACTCAATGAATTTCGATACTCAAGTTATGATTTTCATTAATTTTGGTAATAGTTGTAAGTTGAATGGACAAATTAAAATAAGCCCCCGTTTGTTTCCTATTATTCGTCCATTAAAATGAAAAATATGACCGTTAAAATTTACTGCTAGCCACGTAAGCATGTCTATTAACAGATTTCATCTGATGGCTAACAGAGTGAGACGGAACAAAGTTCAGTGGCTAATGGGACACTTGATGAAGTTCGGTGAGTAAATCGTGACATAAGTTAAAGTTTGGTGGCCAATGAAACATTTAACTCACAAATAATACATACAAAGAGAAAAAGCAAACTAGAATTATTTATTTATTTATTTGGATAGGTCACTGGATTTAGAGGTTTATTTTTGTTGGTCACTCAATTTTGATTTATTGATAAGATAAATGTTAGCAATTAAACCACAATATCAAGATCTTTACAATTCTACGATTTTTACCTATAATAAAATTTATTAAGAATATACCTTGATCCACAACAATTATTTGGAAGATATGAATCTGCAGAATAGAAACTACATAAATAAATAAAGTTCACTCTCTGTAATTGAATGTTTTAATTTGATGGATTTCTTTCACGTTTATAGGCAGAAAGAGACAGTTTCATGAGCCATCACTTTTCCATCAAAGTGATTAGTTATAAAACTGTCACTTCTCAATAGGGCAATAGGATTTTAACAATAGTAAACCACTTTGATTGAAATTGTCTTACATTCTCCCACATGGGCCGTGTCATATTACATCGTTATGTGGTCCATAACATAATGCGCCTATGAAAAGCTAAACTCCCTCATATTTTGATCACTTAATATATCATCCTAAAGCAAAGACTTAGAAGAGTTATGACGATTTCACACCATCATTTCGCCATAATTCCTTCCATGTACTATAATATTAGTCTCCACCTCACATGACACATAATGAAAAGTTCAATAATTAAATTACAATAATGTCTTCGAAAAGACTATCCTTGTCAGCATTCATATAATCCATTATGTATATATATACCAACTATTATGACGTGCATAATATTTTTTGTAAAAAATAATACATAAACGAGCTGAAAGTGTCAATTACATAAATTTCATAATGCCAATATCATTTCCAATAATGTTCATTCTCTTGACATGATCATTAAATGTCTTTGGTGGCAATCCTTTCGTTAATGGATCTACAATCATAAGATTTGTGCTAATATACTCGATTGACACATTTTGGTTTTGAATTTCTTCTTTAATGGCAAAGTATTTCAATTCCAATTATTTAGCACTTTTAGAGTACTTGTCGTTCTTTGAAAAGAATATTGCTGTGGAATTGTTACGATAAAGTTTCAATCCCTTGGCAATACTCTCAACAATTCCACACCCTGAAAAAAGTTCCGCGGCCAATTTCCTTGAATTATAGCCTCAAAGCATGCCACAAACTCAGCTTCCATAGTGGAAATAACAATGACTGATTGCTTCACAATTTTTCGTAAATGTAAACCCCTCCATTCAAGGGGAAACAGATTTTTTAGTATCCACACATCCAGCAAAGTTTGAATCTGAATATCCAATGACATATAAGTTATCAGATCTCCTATAAGTGAGCATGTGGTATTTTGTTCCTTGCAAGTATTTTAACAATTTCTTTACACATTTCCAATGATCAAGCCTTGAGTTACTTTGATACCTGACAATATTTCGACAGCAAAACTGATGTTTGACCTGGTGCAAGTTTGAGCATACATTAAGCTCCCAACAAAATATACGTAAAGACTAACTATCATTTGTTTGCGTTCCAATTTGTTCTTAGGATATTGCATGAGACTAAATATGTCTCCTTTTCTGAGTTGGAACGACACTCGCTGAACAATTTTCCATATTAAATCTCTTTAGAACTTTATTGATGTATGCTTTCTGAGACAACCCTAACAATCATTGTATCTTATCTAAGAATATTTTAATTTCATTCACATAGGTTGCCCCTCCCATATCTTTCATTTCAAAGTTCTTAGGAAGAAATCTCTTAGTCTCGTGCAATATATGAAGATCATTAGTAGCTAGCAAGATGTTATCAACATACAAAATAAAAAAATATAAACTTACTCCGACTGACCTTTAGATATATACGTCGATCAACAATGTTTTCATTAAATCAAAAGAAAGTAATGGTATCGTTGGACTTAAGATACCATTGATGGGATGCCTATTTAAGTCCATATATTGATTTTTTAACTTGCACACCATGTGTTCTTTCCTTCAACTGAAAAACTTTCAGATTGATCCATATAAATTTCTTCATCTAAATTTCCATTTAGAAAGATGATTTTCACATTCATTTCATATAGCTCTAAATTATATCGAGCTAATAAAGCAATTATAATTCTGGGTGAGTCTTTTTTGGAGGCTAGTGAAAAAGTTTCCTTATAATCAATGTTGTCTTTCTGGGTGAAATATTTGGAAACAAGTCTTAGCTGTATATCGTTCGATATTGCCATTAGAGTCGCATTTGGTTTTAAAGACCCATTTGCTCCTAACGCTTTTACATGATTCAAGTAATTCGACGAGATCCCAGACTCTATTATGTTCCATGGATTTCAACTCTTCTTTCATGGCATCTATCCACTTATTAGAATTAGCACTCTCAATGGCATGTAAAAATGAAATCGGAATGTCATCAACAATTCCCAAATCAAATTCAGACTCTTACGGGTAAACACATAATCATCGAAAATAGCATGTCTATGTTATTTTTGTGACCTTCTTAACGCTATTTCTTATGGTTCATTTAGTGCAGGTTCATTAGCAGCAACTTCATTGGGAGATGTTTGATCATTTATTTGTTGTTCTAATAAATTGTCACGTCGTTCAACAATTTGAGGAACAACATTAGAAGAAGTTGAGGGTAGAGGAACTTGAACTCTACTTTTTGTATTTTCCACATTTCATGGGTGTAAACTCCCGCTAACTTCGCTACTTTCAATGAATCTAGCATTTCTAGTTTCAAAATTCTAGTACTATGGTTAGGACGATAAAATCAATACCTTTTTAATTTTTCTGGATAACCAGTAAAAATCCACTGATTGTTCTTGAGTCCAATTTCTTTTCGTGTGGATTATAAATTCTTGCTTCTTCTGGGCAACCCCAAACATGTAAGTGCCTTAAACTAGGTTTCCTTTGAGTCCACAATTCAAAATGAGTATTTGAAACTACCTTGCTAAAAATCATATTTTACAAATACATAGTGGTCTTTAATACATACATCCACAAAGAAATGGGTAAAAGAATAATTATTTAATATACACCTAACCATTTCTATTAGAGTACGGTNTTTTCCATCATATCAAACCATCATATTTGACTTTCTATCTTTTGTGTTGGTCCTTTAACGATTATATTTTTCATTCTCATTTTTAAAAAAATGGAAATCAAACGAGCTCTGAATTTCAAGTTGAAATTGACGAATCGACGAAATTGACACCAAAGCTGAGATTAACATAACGTATTTATGTTTATTTCCAATCATTTTCTTCGATTTTGTACCTCCATCTAAAACAAATTGTGAAATAACGAAATAATTTTGAATTTTAGAGTGAAGCCTAACCATTGCTATTTGCGAAAATTCGTTTCTGTTCATCAAACGACATCGTATACCATACCTTCTTCCTTTGCTTGTGCAAAAAGATTTTGGTTCGTCGTATTACTCAGACCTCTCCTCTCTATCAATTCGTTTCAGATTCTCGCACCGGCAAGAGTAATCATAGTGTAATCAGCAAATGGAATCACCAAAGACAATTCCACACGAAATCGGAGGCCTGAGAAACGATCCACTCCGAAATGGACTTCATGGCGTCAAGAGTGATATTATTGGATCTCATCCCCTCGAATCTTCCTACCACTCGGTAATTTAATTCGTTATTTCGATTTATTTATCGATTATGAAGTTCTTGTTGTCTAATATGGTGTGCTTGATTAGGTCAAAGTGACGCAAGAGAATATGAAGAAAAAAATCTTAGCGAATACCTACGGGGCGGCTTTTCCGTTGAAGATGGAGCTCGACCGTCAAATTATTTCCAAGTTTGTGTTTCCTTCTCTCTTATTTTTGTAGTTTTAGATCATTTTTACTGTATTCATTGTGAGCTTTGTCGAATATTGGGGTATTGAACTTAAAGTTACGGTTTAATCTGCAATTTTAGGGTTTCTTTTGGATGTTTTATTTATGTTTACATATTTTGTGGGAAATTTTACTGAAAGTTGGAAGCTTGTCTGGTTTGTTTGTTCGGTTTCTAACAGAAGAATTCAATGGCTTTTGATGTCGGTGATTGAAAAAATTGTTTTGAGGTTAAACATGTTAGAGCTGCAGTTGAATGCCTGTTTAATATCAAAGTGAAAGAATATACTGGGGTTAAAATGCTACCTTATGTTCGTCAGCATGAAATTGAAAGCTCAAGATTAGAATTAGTAATGATTCTGTCTAAACAGATCTTTTTTATGTTACTCACTGTAATTGTTTGACTTCATCTGTTTAGCATGATTGGCAATTGAATGGAAGTTGGAACTGAAGAATACTCTAGAGCCAAATGCTGCACTATTTTCCACTAATAAATAGGAACCTCAGAATTCTAATTAGAAGTCTGTTCATTGTTATTTTAAATTGATTCTTCATAAATTTCCCTTTTGGCCCTCCAATTCTATGTTAACTATTTTAATTATTTTCAGTTTTCACTGTGGATATGCTGAATCTACTCAATTTAGTTCATTAACTTTCTTGAATTCTATTTTTGCCTCAGTTGTCATTATGTTATCTCAGAAGAACTTGATGAACATATTTTATTACAAAAAGTATTAATAGAGGTTGATTTTTGCATCCGCATCTTGCAGCTAACATTTCGTACATAACTGAATCAAGGAAATTTCTATGTAAGATTCGCTTTTCTTGTTGTGATTAGTTTTTCAGTGTTGAATCCCAGGCTTCTTCCAACAATTAAGCTAATATCAGGTACTTGATTGTGAAATGCTGGAAGTAGCGTGTTTTTCAACTCTGATGATTTCATTTTTCTCTTCTTTCCCCCTTATGATAAAATTATATAGCCTTATCATTTTCAATATCTAGAAAGAAGGATGCTCGCAAAAAATGGACATCGCTTTCGTAAGTAGGTCTCTGCAGTTCTGATTATCTTTTGATTCCCACTTTTGCATCTGCTCACAAGTTGTAATAAAGTTTTGCGAAATCGCTGATGTGAGGGTTGTTCACAATGCTACTGCAAAATGCTTGTCCCTCAGTTACAGAAATGATTTTTCTGTTTTGACTTTTTCAGTCAATCACATGATTTTTCAGAGTTATCTTTCACATTGTATTCAAGTTTTTAATACCAATAACGTTCTAAATAGTAGTATTCAATTTGAATTTTTATATTGTGTAAATAATTGTCCTTAAGGCCCTGTTTGAGCCCCATTTTTAAGTCTAAATGCATTTTGGAATAGTATTTGGTTGGAAAATGTGTGGTTAAAAAATAAGGAAAAATTTTGGGTTTGCCTGCAAAATTATTTCATGGGAGAATGTGTGTTTAAAAATGAGTTTTGAAAAAATTAGTTTTTGAAAAAGTGGGGGCCAAACATAGGCTAAATTATGTAAGTAATATGAAACCTTCCAAATAGTAAGTTGATTGACCAAAGAAAGTGAAGTTAATGAATTTTTTGGCCTTTCCCTTTCACTTGGGGAAAAAGAATTTTGTGTGTGAGTTGGGGAAGGGGGTTGCATTGTGGCTATCTTTTAATTTTGGGAATTGCAGCCAAAAAGTTCATACTAAATTAATGGTATGAAAATTTGAATCTCTAAAATTTATTATCTAGACCGAAGAATAATTCTTAGCCCTTGTTTGGCCTCAATTTTAATGAGATTTTGGGGAACAATGTATTTTGGAATGGTGATTTTTTGAAGAATGCGTGGTTAAAAAAGAAAGAAATTTTTTTGGTTTACGTGTAATATTATTTTAATGGAAAATGCG